TGTGGCGTCAGACCCGCCGGCCGTAGCGCGAGCGCGAGGAGGTGCTTGGACGCCGGTTGAGTTGGCGAGACCATGGGAGTTGGGAGGTCAGGTCAACCATCAGGTGCTGTGGTATCAATGTCTAACCGGATGTTACACCATGTTCGTTTGATCGTATCAGTCATGATATAGTATTTTTCTCTCACAACGAAACAATATAAGCCAACTTATAAGCCACGTAAACGATAAGAGAACAAACAGGGTGTTAGTTTCGAACTGATAGCTGCCTAGTCCGCTCCGTGTTTACCACGCGAATGTGGAGGGGGAGAAGACGACGCGCCGCATGGGTATTGAGGGAAGTGGCGGCCTGGCGGGGTCTCACCACCGTCGTCTGTGCCAAAAAGTAGACTAGCCACGAGGAGGAAGGAGGACCAGCAACCTGTTCGTTTGGCTGTGCCTTGTCGTAAACGATCGTAAATTTCCAGTCGGAATAGTATTTTTCTCTCACACAAATCAGCCAGCAGTATTTTTTCATGAACCAGCAACAAAACGAACCAGCCAACCGAACAAGCTTGCACGGGAGACCATCAGTGGTGCACGGGCCTGATCTGTCAGTCTGTGCTCTCCTGACTCCTGCCGTCCTGCGCCTGTGGAGTGCCTTCCATTTATGGGCCAGGCGGGCTCTCAGCTGCTCGATTTTTTTTAAAATAACTCTTTCTATTTAGAATGATATAATTTTAAAATAATAATCTACCTTCCAAAGTAGCTTTTAGATCTAACTCATTTAGTCCCGCCAGCCCGGAGCGACAAAATAACACTGTTGGGCCATATGTATTGGCAGCTAGTTTGGCGACCGGTGCTATCACGCTATACATTTTCTTCCATCAAAATAAATGAGTATTAGACCTGAAATCCTATGAAACTCGACGTAGCTCTGTTCGCTTTCAGCTTGTTTTTTCAGTCGGAATAGTGTTTCCTCTTACAATAAATCAGCCAAACAGTGTTTCGATTTGTTTTTTTAGCGAAGCGAATGGACCATATATGCTATAACGGATAGTGTAAATATTCCATTTTAGTTACATGCACAGGACCGAGTGTAATATATTTTGAACTGTTCAATTCTAAAGTAAGGCTTGTATTTTTTTTTAAACCTGGGTAGATTTTCATTCCAACTGAGTTGAGAGTTCCTGAACAACAGTTACATGAATGTTATCTGGGACAATGCACATTATGTGCTCCTCCCCTTCAAAGCTACCCACGCCGAAAGCGGCACGCTCATGAGCTGCCCTATTATAAACTCTTGACCGAGACACACACTCAAAATTTATGAAGTTTGACGGCACCAAAGACTTTAGTTCATCTACTATCAAACCTCCATACATCGACTTGGCCAAAACATGGGTCGTCAGAGCTTATTTATTCACCATCGGTGCGTCCGTTTCCAGGATCAAATTCCCAATCCCCAAATTGCATGCCGCCTGAACACCATGGAGACAAGCAATCAACTCTGCCTGGAGCGCGCTGAGTAAGTGATCAACTCGCCCCATCCAGCAAGCACCACATCTCCATCACTCTTGTATTACTGCTACGATCGAGAGAGAACTAAAACTTATTCGACTCGGTCTCCTTTACTCAATTTAATTAGGTAATTGTCACGGACATGGAACCTGTCTCCACAATATCTTGGAGCCCAAGAAGAAAGAGGTCCACTAAACCAAACCCAAGAATTGCAGGCCCATAGTGGAGCAAATAGTTTAGGCCCAGTTGCATCAGGTGAACGCCATTGGGAACAGCTCTATTGGGTATCACACAGAGAGAGAGAAGCTGAACTCGTCGTGGTTGGTGTCAGAAGTTTGCGACGAGCTGTTGCTGCCGATTTTTTTTTCAGCCCTTTTTTTTGAAATATTTTCATAAATACGCCCATAACAGTATACTTTCAAAAAATAGACCATGACCTCGGCGCCGTGACAATTGGCACCGAGCCTACACGCGAGGTCCAGGGTCATTTTCTGCGTGTCGTTGACGTGGCTGCTTGCGTGGCGCGGACGTGGCATGAGCTCGGCGCCGAGCTAAGAAAATTGATAAATTTTAATTTTTACCATGAGACGAGCTCTGTACAGTGTCGCCCCACCGTACTACAAGAGCCGAGCTCTGTACCGTGTCGCCCGGACGTGCTGAAGTTGTATCTTCGAGCTCTGAGCTCATGAGTGCCCGCTGTTGCGTGCTTTGCCCCAAAGCCATTGTTGCCCATAGCTATATGCAACTATTACAAGTAAAAAGGGAGGGAAAAAGAACACGAACACTACAAAAGTAAGTACGTTAGCAAATGAATTCCTCGCTTGCATGCCAAGATATTTCTGGACTTGGCCATCACTTTTATTCTTTCAGACAGGAAATGAAATTAATGAGAAACGAAAAAGGCTTGAGATATGATGTTGTGTTGTGTTTGCATTGTTCCTCTCTGAAAATTTTCCAAAGCATGCAGAAAACCAAAGGCTACGCTGATGTTGTTGCAGGAAAGTAACGTAAAAACGGGTTCTGGAAACAGAGACGCGCGGCGGCAAGACCGCAAGAGGTAGCTCTGTTTCTCACACAGAAACCAGAGCAAAAAGCTTTGTTTCTGTTGCCTGGTACATTGCTCATACACATGTTCTTTGTTTTCTCCTCGTCCCAACAATTCCTTTCCTACGGAATTTCCTAATACAAAATAAAGTATATATATGAACACATGCATGGAAACTTCCGTATAGCAGGTGCGTACGACAGACTTTTTCTAGGATCCGAACAAAGCCTGGTCTTATTGGTTTGTACAGTTGTACGTGCTCCTAGTTTACTCTAAAGTAGCGAAGTACATACATACGACAGTATTGTTAATCAGTTTGCAGGTACTTTTGTCCATGCCGCAGCATCCGTAGAGATGCATGCATGCACTTGGCTTTATATATATATATATAGAGAGAGCGCGCGCGCTCATGTGGCTACAAAATAACTTATTCTATAGTCACTTTGAGTTACGATAATTACTATGTTAATTTACGAGATTATCATAACTCCTTACTAAATGGTTTACTATAACTAAATGGTTTACTATAACGTTATGGTAAATATCCCCATGTGTTATAGTAACTTAACTATCGTAAATATATATTGATATTATATTCAGTAGCTGGTTACAAAATAAGTTATTATGTAGCCACCTCCATTTACGATAATTTTATATACTAATTTACGATAATATCAATACATATTTACGATAGTTAGGTTACTATAACACATGGGGATATTTACCATAACGTTATAGTAAACCACTTAGTATTGAGTTACTATAATCTCGTAAATTAACATAGTAATTATCATAACTCAAAGTGGCTATAGAATAAGTTATTTTGTAGCCAACTATAGAGTAGTAGTTCTCTCTCTATATATAATAGAATTCACCGATCTGATAGATGATGCCTTTCTTCACCTTACTAGTATACGCTAGTTTATACTTTATGTATGTAGTTGCATACCATGTGTGGTGTGTGTGTATATATATATATATATATATATATATATATATATATATATGATGCCCATATTCCGGTGTGGTAATTTCACAGCGTATTAAAAGCAGGCCCTTTTTTTTTTTGCTTGGTGCAGTTTCGGGGCCAATTGCTTTGGTGCTGTTTCGAGCTTTTTTTTTTTGCTTGGTGCTGTTTGGAGCTGTCATGGTAAAAATTAAAATTTATCAATTTCCATAGCTCATGCCACGCCCGCACAACGTAAGCAGCTACGTCAACGATACGCAGAAAATGATCCTGGACCTCGGTGCCAAAGCAATTGGTGCCGAGACGTGTAAGTTTGGCGCTAATTGTCACGGCGTCGAGGTCAGGGTCTATTTTTTGAAAGAATATTGTCAGGGACGTATTTGTGAAAATCTTTAAAAAGGGCCGAAAAACAAAAATAATTCGGTTGCTCGACTTCGCTGAGACGATCAATTCCGCCAGTTTTGTACCCAGATACAAATTCCACTTCTATAGTAGAAATCGTAGTACTGTACGGTAACATCTGGTACTGGACATCTAGATCCTAGCGCACGATCACCGTACGCGGCCTCAGGTGACGATGAAGGTTGAGGAACAATTCACCGAAGTTGGACGTGCAATCGAAGAGGATAATAACTACTTTAATTATCAAGTTGACAAGCTGATCACTAATAAAGCAATTCGCCTTGATCCTCACGAAGCTGATCTGATGTAAGGGGGCATTTGGATCGCAAGACTGAATTGGTTTATCTTGTGATAATTTAGCATATGTTTAATCCTTCTATTTTGGTATGAAAACCAAAAACTATCTTTTAGTTATGTGTACCAAACACCTCTAATGTGGCTATTTATTTTTTCGAATCAGGTGCATAGTTGGGTCCACCTAGGCAGTTGCTTGAGGGAATAGCATTCAGCACAGCTGGTATTGTTCACACTTTACACTAAAAAAACGCCGACGAAGTTTAGGTTTAAAGAAGAAGATGATCTCCTTGGTCGTTTCCTTAACAGCTCAACGCAACACGTAGGCAGGAGGCAACTAGCAAGGCTGCTGCAAAAGAACGAGCCACCGCGCCACGCGCCCACGCACGCGGCTCGTCTTCTCGTCGATTCGATGAAATAGAAAGCCCAGCTAACTGTTTCCGGTTGACTGTTCCCCGGCCCCGTCCGACGGACCAATCCTAATCCGGTAACGCCAACAATTGCCGACGCAGCCGACGCCGCAATGATCTCTGCTAACGGGTCCCATACCTTCCCAGTCCCACCTGTCAGCGACTGAGTCACGCGTCCCGCCACGGACCCCGGCCGACAGCGTTCGCCGTCGCCACGTGCTCCGCCCCCGAGGCCGAGCCGGGCCGATAATAATTCCGCTAGGGCCACCGCGTCGCGCACCACCACCAGCAGCAGCGGTTACCTTTTTTGGCTTTTGCAACGCGCACAGCCGAAGCCGAATCGATTGATACGGTTACACCTGAGAAAGAGTGGTGGCCGGCGCGGATGGCGGCGGATGGGAGGATGCCGGAGAGGGAGAAGAAGCAGGTGGCGATGGACGGGCGGAAGGATGGGGTGGCGCGGGAGGTCATCCGGATGGAGCGGGAGGCCGTCATCCCCATCCTCAAGCCCAAGCTCGTCATGCGCCTCGCATACCTCATAGGTGAGCCACCACAGCCGCCGCTTCTCCCGATTTCTCTCTTTACTTTCTTTAGCAGCAGCAGCAGTTGCGTGGTGCTGCGAGGGGCGCTCGTGGTCTGTGTCTATGACCGACCGGGAGTCTGGGGACCGGCGCGTCGTGTCGGCTGGATTTCGTCTACTCAGTTGTACGTACTGCGTAGTGCTCTGCTCATTCGGCTCGAAGCATCAGCGGTGAATTTGGTCGGTTCTGGGACCCCAGAAGTAGAGTTTCCTCTATCTGCCCATCGGCACGACTGTTAGTCATGCTTAGTCGTGTGTTGGAGACGATTTCTCTGCAAAAGCCAAAAGGGAGTAGTCAGTAGTGCAAACAATGTTCTCTGTCCAGGATTCCCCGTTTGATTAACTATTTCGTGTTTGAAAATTGCACGCAGAGCATGAGGCTGATCGAAATGAGTTCCTGAAGCTGTGCAAGAAGGTGGAGTACACCATCCGGGCCTGGTACCTCCTCCAGTTCGAAGACCTCATGGCAAGCCTTCGTTTTGTCTTCGTTCTTTTATTAGTTCTCTGTTTGGTTGCTCAAGGGGCACTTTGATTCAGATGGTTAATTGCCTGTTCTGTGCTCTCGATGCAGCAACTGTACTCACTGTTTGATCCTGTTTCTGGTGAGAAGAGGTTAGAGCAACAGAACCTGACATCAGAGGAAATTGAGACCCTTGAATTCAATTTCATGACATATCTTTTTCAGGTCGGTTAGGTACATGCTCCTCTGTTTAGCATTACGCATTTACACTATTAATATGGTCCAACGTCTTCCTCATCTTCATGTACAATTGTTCCCTATTACTTTATGCCGAATGCATAAAATACATGAAAAATGTTTATCATGGATACACGGAGCTGTAACTGATCCAGGCTACGGACCAACAAGAGCCACATGGTGGCAACAATCGTTCCTATTTAGTACTCCCTCCGGTCCAATTTATAAGGCGTAATCTGACATATCACGGTCTCCTAAATTACACTTTGACCATTCATTTATTTATATTATATTGTGTATGATTATAAACGTTGGCCTACGAAAAGACGACATGTTTAACAGATAAGTGTCGCGGAAATGCGTATGTTGCGTTGGATTTGCGGTCATACAAGAAGGGATCGAGTTCGGAACGATGATATACGTGATAGATTAGGGTAAGCACCAATTGAAGAAAAGCTTGTCCAACACCGGTTGAGATGGTTTGGATATATCCAACGAGACCTCCAGAGACACCGGTGCGTAGTGGAATCCTAAGCCATGATAGTAACGTGAAGAGAGGTAGAGGAAGACCGAAGTTGAATTAGGTAGAGGCAATAAAAGGAGACTTGAAAGGATGGAATATACCTAAAGACTTAGCCTTAGATAGGAGTGCTTGGAAAACAACTATTCACGTGCCTGAACCTTGATTGCTTCTGCTGGGTTTCAACTCTAGCCTACCCCAACTTGTTTGGGACTTAAAGGCTTTGTTGTTGTTGTTGTTGTGTATGATTATAAACATATGATTATTTGATAGTACATTTGATTACAAATATAATAGTATCAAGTTTGTAGTACAATAATTAAAAAAAGTTGGCTAAATTAATGGTAAAAGATTGTAATGTTTGACTCTTAGCATACGCGAAATGCCTTACAAACTGGACCAGAGGGAGTACCACGCATTGATGCGCACCACTGAACTTTGACTTTCTGGCCTTAAGTACATGGTTTATGATTCAAGACCTAAATCCTCATGGGAAATGGATTGCTTAGCACATTATGTTCACTGTTACTTTGTGCTAAAAGTATTGAAAATATGTGAAAAATATTTAACATGGATACATGCCATGGTATGGACCAGTGAGAGCCACCTGGTAGCAACTATAGTTCGTATTTATTACCATGCGTTGATTCATAACACTGAGCTATGACTGTCTGGCCTAGAGTACATGGATTTTCGACTCAATGCCTAAATCCTAGGAAATGAATTGCTTGGCATACTACATTCTCCACTGCCTTACTGTTGAGTGGTTGCCATGTAGCTCATACTTAAAATTCACTGAATATGGTGCTTTAGAAAGGATTTAGATTCTCGTTTGGCATGACTTCCATGCTATTCCTAAGAAGGAATTTGGAACGCCACTATCCACCCTTTTATATTTATTAAGATAAGATGATTCTTTTTAGGGAAAATTGGCCGTGGGACACTGGAGAAACACGTAATTGGCCAGTGAACACCGCCAAAGTCAAAATTTGTTGGCAGACATTACAAATTCGTGGTTCTTTGCCGGAAGACATCGCACCGATTATTTTATTCATTTTTCAGTTTAGAGGAGAGAGAAGGTGGGGGAAATGTCTAAACTGCCCTTGTCTTCTTCAACCTCTGGCCGGCCAAGTAGGCCAGTAGGGGGCTGGTTGCCGGTGGCGACTTGGCCAGCGCCCAGTGTCAGCAAGGGCGGCCGTCCCGCCATGGCCGCTTCCCAACAAAGGTTGCGCCCAGACATCCATGCGCGCCACAGCCTCCGTCGTCCGTGCAGTCCGCCGCTAGCCACAGCCTCCGCCGCCCCGCGTCTTCAAGCTCATCCTCCGCCACTTGCAAGCGTCCAAGCCCGCCCTAGCCTCCGCTGTCGACATGGCGCCTTCACCTGTCTCTCCGCCAAGCGTCCGCCTTGCCCTGCCTCCCTCCGCCGTCGTCACAAGCGCCACCTGTGCTCTCCGTGGTCGCCATGGCCGCGCCTCCCACAAGATCTCGCGCTGCCCTCCGCCCGTCGTCCCGAAGCGCCGCCTCAGCCTCCGTCGTCCGCCATGGCCGCCTCCGCCTCGCCTCAGCCTCCACCTGCGTCTTGAGCTCGTCCTCCGCCCGTCGCCTGCTTCACGGAGCACCGCCTGCCGAGGACCGACGAGCGGCCGTTGATGATGCTCTGCCTGATCGCCACCAAGGTCGGAAGGAACTGGAGCGGTTCTTTGGCGTGCTACTGTGCGAGGAGAGAAGAAAAGGGAGAGGGAAGAAGAAGAAGGCAGGGGCAAAAATGACATTTCGCTGCTCTTCTCTCACCTCCAAAGTCAGAAATGAATATTTTAATAGGCGCAGTGTCCGCCAGCAAATTTTGCAAAAAACAGAGTGTCTTTCAGCAAATCTGATTATTTTCAGTGTCCGCCAGCTAAGAGAGGTCATTTTTGGTGTCCCGTGGCCAATTCGCCCTTCTTTTTGCCCTTCTTTTTAAGAGAACCTGCAACACCTATGAACTCAGTTGGATCAGATCAGCTTTGCAGTATGTTGATATATAACTGATAAAACTACCTTTTGTCCTTTGGATGTAGATAAGATTCCTGTTTCTTAGGTGACTAGGAGATGTTCAGCTACCATTTTTTTTCTCGAACATGCAGGAGAGCTGCGTATCTTTGTATTAATAAGAAAAAGGGGCAAGAACCCTTACAACACGCACCCCACACACTCATATTTCTAAGAATGCATTCACACCCTTTGTATACAGCAAAATAACGACCCCAACCAAAGCAACTAGCATTTTCATGCAAAACTATTTTTGTTTAATCGTTTCTATTTGTGGTCTGTATCAAGCAGGTGATGGAAAAGAGCAACTTCAAGTTGTTATCAGATGAAGAGTTCGATATTGCGCAATCTGGAAAATATTTGTTGAATCTTCCAATCAAAGTTGATGAATCTAAGGTTTGAATTTTTTTACATTTTAAAGTAAACTTAGTAACTTACATAACTAGTATTTTGCTGACGATCTATTTGCTAACCTTGAAATGTAGCTAGACAAGAAGTTGTTGACGAAATATTTTAAAGAGCACCCACATGACAATCTAGCAGAATTTTCAGACAAGGTATTATTCGTTCATGCAGCTTTTCTTTTCATCCTGGCGACACTTATGTTTCTGAGTGATCCTGGATGTTTTCATCATCCTCTGTTTTTCTCATGGTTTCCTAAGTCACATTCTTCATTGTCCACATCTCTTAGTATATCATCTTTCGTCGGGGGATTGGAATTGATCGAACAACTGACTACTTTTTCATTGAGAAAGTAGATGTAATGATATCCCGAGCTTGGAGGTCATTGCTCAGGGTTACCAGGTATATGCACTCTTTGCAGCAACCTTTTGTTTTTTTGAACACAATCTACTCCAATATACCAAAATACTGTATGGCGTTATACCAATGAATTCTTATTTTTATTACAGGATTGACCGATTGTTTTCTAAGAAACAACATTTGAAGCCAAAGAATGATACGAAGAAGACTGATGAAATTAATGAAGATGAAGAAGATCCAGAATTGTTTGTTGAGAGAATTCGATTAGAAAAAATTGAATTAAGGTTGCTCAATGTTCTTAGTAAAATTTTTATACTACCAAACTTAGTATCTAACATGCAGTATCTTTACCCATGTGATGACAGTTTGAAAAATCTGATGAGTAAGATGACAATTCAAGAACCTACATTCGATAGGATGATTGTGGTGTACAGGTAGATTCAATGTTCTGTTTGCTCAACCTTCAAATTCATGATGGACTCTGGTGTTTTTATTCTTGATGCAGCTATATTAGCTGGGCTGATTGTATATGTACAGGAGGGCTGGTACAAAGACTAAGCCTGATCGAGGAATATTTGTAAAGCACTTCAAGAATATCCCAATGGCTGACATGGAAATTGTTCTTGTAAGATAAGATAGATCACAAGAAATTAAATTGATATATAGCAGTTTGATTATCATTTTAGTTGCATCTATGGTTGTTATCAATAATAACCAGAATTATAATTTTGTAGCCAGAGAAGAAAAATCCGTCACTAACACCAATGGATTGGGTCAAGTTTCTCATTTCTGCTGTTATCGGTTTGGTATGTTTCTAATGTCTTGGCTATCCAGCTACAGTGATGTTTTACTATATCAATAGCTTACTACTTGCAGGTCACTCTAGTTGGCTCTCTTGAAATGCCAAAGGCTGATGTATGGGTTGTAATAGCAATCTTGTCTGGTGTGATTGGATACTGTGCTAAGATATACTTCACGTAAGTGCTTAATTGACAGCTTTCTTTTCCTTCTTACCTTGAGCCCCATTTGGTTGTTAGTGTTATTTCTCTGTAGGTGAAGTAATTCCATGAATTGTTGAACTCCAGTGCTATGTAATAAATTTTAAATTCCCCTTATTAATAATCTTGCTACCTTTTCCATACTAGTGCAGTGATTCTAATCTTTTGCTGATATATGACACATTTCTTTCTTGTTTATACACAGATTTCAACAAAATATGACAATTTATCAGAATTTGATTACAAAATCAATGTATGACAAACAGCTTGATAGTGGGAAAGGAACTCTCCTTCACTTATGTGATGACGTGATACAGCAAGAAGTATGAAATAGTTGAAAACAGTACTTCAAACCACAAGCTCATACCTATGCCTTTTGTTCACTGATATCCCATCATCCTTGTTGTAGGTTAAAGAGGTCATAATTTGTTACTACATTTTAATGGAGCAGGGAAAAGCCACTATACAAGTAAGTAACTGGTGTTGCACTCTACATTATTTTTTCCTTTTGTATCGCTTTGAACATATTGAGCATCTGTGTCCTCAAGATAACCTTGTTCTTTAGATTCACTCATTACAAATTTCAGCAACTCAGCCCTTGTTTACTATTAGGTTGTTGGGAGTTGTGCTAACAGCTGTAGCTGAGTAGCATTGTTCAGGTTTGTTTTGTCTTTTTGTTAGAATGCAGCATATCCTATCCAGATGGTAAACCAATACATACTATTTATCAATGGGGGGAAAAACCAAACCTTTTGTGTGATTCTTCAAATACACTGTTTTGACTGAAGGTTAGATGAGCAATTATAGTTAGACAAAATTGATCTGTGCAGAATAGTTGTGATAAGAAATTTCTGTGTGTAGACTTGTAGCTGTCAGGAGGGCTTGACAACAAAATTTGAAAATTTGGATCCACTTGGATGTCATTTGCTCAAACACAGTACACATCGTGTAATCGTGGTTACGAGATGTGTTCCAGCAAAAGCCATGCAAGTGGAGTGTACAGCAGCTACTTGTGCTATTTTTTTTTGCCTTGCCTTAGGACAAATTACTGCAAATTAAGGGAGCTTACGATTTTTATTTTCATTTTTTGTTCCTACCAGGATCTTGATTTACGCTGTGAAGAGCTTATAAAAGAAGAGTTTGGCGCAGAGTGCAATTTTGATGTTCATGATGCTATAAAGAAGTTAGAGAAGCTTAGCATTGTTCATCGGGTAAATCAATTCTTTCTAATGCTGAAGTATATATTACTAACTTTTACACACATTAAGTCACAGTCATCATTGTTTGCAAACTGCATCACCTTCAGTGGCATCACCTTCAGTTTATAGGTTAACACTTATTGGTCTTGTTTGATGCCAAGCATGTAAGCCATGTTTGCTATATGAAAAATGCATGGCTGCATCTTTGTTTGAAATTTGGGGTTCATAGGTTCCACTAACATGGGGGATACTACATGTGATTCCAGTTAGTTACAGCAGGCTGATAATTATCATATGATTTTAACTATTTTTATTTAAATCCAACATATTTAAGCTGTTTGGATTTGAAGGAGCGCTGAGATCAGAACATTTTGCTTACTCTCCCGTGGAGCTTGATTGTGATTTTGCCTCTATTTTTTTAACTTCGTGATTTTACCCTACATTTTTTCCCATTTACCCCAATTTCTAACTCTGTTATCTAGAGCAGAAAAAGGAAAGAAATGAACATTTTAGCAAATTGGAAAAAGGACCATTCTACCCCACTACCTCACGAGAAGCCATGGCCTTGCGACCCTTCCTTGGTTTCCCCCTCTTATTGCATGAGCGACGGTGAGGGAAGGAAGCTGGGTGGTGCGTTAGACTCGGCTAGGCACGGCGCGGGCGGCAGCCAGGCGCACGGGGGGCGTAGGGCGCGGGGACGGGCGTGTAGGGGCTACGTGGGGGCAGGTGCCTGATGGCGTGTTCAGCTGACTCAAGTGCGTGTGGGGCCCTGAAATGCGGGGCGCAGCGCCACGGCAGTCGCAACTCGCGACCGACAGCTGTCGGTGGGACTGGCATGTGGGCAAAGGTGGGGCAGGCTCTGAAGCGGAAGCCAACAGCATGGGTGGGGCAGGCTGGTTGGCAGCGGCGCGTCCTGCAGCGCCAACAGCCCAACACGCACAATGGCAGGTGGTGGCCCTTTCGGCAGCGGCGCGTGCTAGGATGAGTTGATTCCTCGTGCCATCCCAGGTCCCAGCATGAGTTGCCTTCCAGCAGATGAGCGTGCCACTGTGCAGAAGCACTCTGCACTGTCCTGCAGGTCATCTGTTGCTGTTAATAGATAAACTCTGAAGTCTCTGGGAAGATTCTGTCAATGGTCCTTGTCAAAATGTGGTCAAATTTTAAATATATATACAAGATTCTGTCAATTGTTTTGTCGATCTTTTAAATATGTCAATATTTCTCCAAATTATTCAAGTCAAAACAGGGGGTAAAAATACAAAGATCTTTGAAATGAAGGGGCAAATCCGCAATGGGAATTTGTCTTTTTTTTACTATCGAATTGACACCATTAGGTCCTTCTAACGGTATAGGGGCAAACTCAATCTTCAATTTAAAAAGGCGGGGGTAAAATCACCAAGTTGAAAAAGTAAGGGCAAAATCACCATTGGTCCTTAGAGCTGGGGCATGAACACAAAAGCCCACCCCCAAATAGAAATGACTAGAATGAGCAGGAGCAGTATCTGATTTTTACTATCTCAAACTAATATTTTCACTGCTCTTGGCACTCTAGTTTTCGTGTCCTGGGTAGACAACTGTGTCAATAGCATGATACGTGCATTAATAACTGAATAATAACAAATGGATAGGTATAGTTGACATTCAAAGTAAGTTGCATGGTGTACTAAATCGCACAGTTCACCATATGCACCAGTAAGGCTTTTCCTTTTATCGCAGGACTCGATTGGAAGGATCTTGTGTGTTCCGTTGAAGCGTGCGAACGAGATCATTGGTACAACGACTGAAGAACTGGTGATGCGAGCGCAACAGAGCCCTGCTTCGTAGGTTCCATTTCCAAGTCACGATGGGTTGTACCTTTCCTCTCATTTCTGTGCAAAACACGCACCAGAAAGGTAGCATCTGATCATCCCGGAAGTTTATTCGCCTGTACATGTGTATGTTTGCAATGCAGTGTTCCCTTTCGTTTGGTTTAACACGGAGTGTATATTTCAAAGTTGGCTGTTGCGGTTTAAGAATGGTACAGGGGATGTGTACATAACAATGATATGTAATAAAAATGTAACAGTACAAATTTGTTCTCTCTCCCTAGTATTTCTAGGGAGACATTCTTATTACATATTGCATCTGCTTCCTCTGCATCTCGTCTAGCACCAGCCGTCGACTTCATATTCTCCATTTCCGTCTCTGAAGCTATGTTTACACCTCAGTATAAATACCATACGGCAATGTCCTAAACGAGTTTATTAAACAAAACTGTCATAACTTAATTCGTGAAATTAAAGGCCATCCAAAGGACCCGAAGAATTGCATAGCCGCATTCTCTATTCCATTGGAATCAGATAATCTTTGGTTCACGTTGTGCGTCGCCAACTCAACTTGATGACCCGGTAAGTCTTTTTTTTTAATAATAACTTCAAATATATTAACTAAGACAAAAGAAACCAGATTACAAAGGCTTGGGATAACTAGTTCCAATAGACACACATATGGCACTAAGGGTACAAATAAAGAGTCATCACAGTGACTGAAACAGAGGCGTTCCCAAACAAGGAACTGAGCGGTCCCAGAGACATGAACTTCCACTAGTGCCACCCGTCAGTTGTCATGTTCGATACTTCCGCCTTGGTCTTTGCCGTTGCTGAGGCTCCCGATGCTGACCTCATGTCCATGTCACAGGCCACACTCAATTTGTTGTGCCGTCAGTGTGTGAAACGTGGATGCCGTCGTTTTCAGGATTATAAGGTCAATCTTATTGGGTTTCATGTTCCAGTTTCTTTGGAAACAGTGCGGAAGAGTTTCATCCCCATGAAACTCTCTCTATTCTCATAAAACTTTTATCATCTCTCTCTTCATCAATACAATGTCATGTCAGCGTATTTAATGTCTATGAAATTCTATGAAACCCCCGTTGAGATTGGTATAATTTCTACCCGAGATGAATCTGTGGGGGCATTGAGGCTGTCAATGTTGCTAAACCTTACACATCATGGGTGGTCTTGCTGTTTGTTCTAGTCACATTCGTCTTGGGGACCCACCAGACACCAGTGTTCCCACGAGCTTCAGTGTGACCTTAGATTTGCATGGCCCAGACATACTGATTTCCTTGATCGCAGTTGTCCCTCTAGGGATGAGCATAGCGGCGGGTTATGCCGAGGAGCAAAGCTTGTTGAAACATTGGCCAACTTCATAATCTACTATGACTAAACAGAAAAGCTAAACAACACTCGGTTGTTTTGCCGGCATCTGACGCTCGGTTTCCTGGCCTTTGGATCTGACACGTGTTGGTACTGATCTTTCTATGCTTTGTGTCTGTCATGTGGGGTTTGCATGTTGGCGCTATTATTTGATTTTTTGGGAGTCGTGCCCGAATGTGTAGCGTCTGTTTCCCCTTTTTGCTCATGTTCATTTCCTCTCTGTCTTCCTCTAGGTACTATTGTTCCCTGTTGGCGGTGACTGGCGATTTCTAGGGTTTGGCGAGGCACGTTGTGTCCGCTCTCTTTGTGGTGCTAGTAAATCTTTGTTGTTAGGGTTCGTTGTCGCATTATTCATGTCTTTGGATGTTTAGTTTGTGTTTATTTGTTTTGAATCTGTGATTGGTGGAGGTAGTTGGATGCCTTGCTCATTCTGGGTTTTGATCCAGCGCGGATGCGGGGTCTCTGCCGCCGTGTTGTGCGCATGCGGGTATGCAGTCATGAGATCCGATTCATAGGGCTGTTGGTTGATTGATGCTGGGCATTGGTGTCCTGGGGCCGTGCAGATATTTGGGGGGGGAGACGTAGAGGTACAGGAGAGGATCCGTGAGCTTTTCCGCTGATCTGTCAATTTTCTCTTTCCCCAGACTTGTTGAGATGTTCCCAGTCCTTCGTCGCCTTCCCTCTGCTCTGGCTCAGCAGCATCAGCTCCCCTCACATACTGAACGCGTCATCCGTGTCTTCTCTGATCCCTCTACTATGTGTGGGTGTGGATACCATTACTAGCAGGGCAGTCAGCGTCAGAAAACTGACTATGATCATCTGACATCTTTATTACTGTTCTTGGATTGTTCTATGCTCGTGGATTGTTTTGCATTTGAGATTAATATTTCCAGTGTGACATGTTATCTTGTTTGCACAGGCTGCAATCTGTTTTTTTTTTTCTGAAAAATAACTATCTGTGTGCAAGCTATAAGTAGTCTGAAAATAGTGTGGTCATATTCCAAACAGCAAGTTATTGTAGGTGTAAAATTTGTAGCTGTATTTAGTCTGCAAATAGTTGCAGTTCTCCCTGATGTAGCATGACTGAATATTCAGTTGTGTTCAAATCATTACCTATCTAGCATGATACTCTCTATCTGTAAGGCCTGTTACTGTTTTGTGAGACCTATAGCATGACTGATATATTCAGGTGTGTTCAACTCATTATGAATCTGCTTTGAAGAGTAAGTCTTCTAGCTTATCTACCTACCTAGATTGTAGTTGTATGCTTATTTTTGGATTGGAACGGCTATTTATTTATTTTTAGGAATGTTCTTATAAATGGTATGTTAGTTTGATGTTTAATTACTTATAGTCTTATAAATGGTCTGCTAGTTATCTCAGTTCTATAGTTCATAGAAATGGTCTGTTAGTTTGATGTTAAATTACTAGTTTTTTTTATGATAGCAGGTTCTTATGTGTCTGTTGCAGTTTTACTGCTTGGTTCATCAGTCATCAAGTTTTATATATTTTTTATTCTTTGTTCATATTTTGTTTGCTATTTTCTAGATGGCTCGGAAAAGGCCTACTGGTGTAGTTGATTTATCTACCCTGGTGATTCTGAAAATGGTGATTTTGAAGATGTCCAGTGTTCTTAGCTTCCTTCTATGGATTACGATTCCTATCAATCATTTTCAGAAACCCAGGTTGTTTCGGAAGTGAGTGTTATGTTTGAATGTTTTTTCATTGTATTTCCAAAATTTTTATATGCTCTATATTTGCATGTACTTATTTTTTGTTGGTCAATGCAGGATGATTCTTCCAGCGATAATTCAAGTATCAAGAATCATTTATACCAAAAGTGTCTAAAAGATGTACTTGTCTTTTTATATACTTTTTTTCATGTACCATGTCTTTCTTTTTTGCATTAATTTTGTTTTGTATTTTTCAATATCAGAAGATTAAGCATTTGAAGAGAAGGCTTCAAATGGCATTGAAGCACAATGTTATCATTTCTTTGTTTGTTTAGTTATTGGATCATGTTAATTGTTTTTGGCTTATTACTGTTTTGTGAGCTCTGGAACATATGGTTTGTGAAGTTTTTTATTTTATTTTAGTCCAAGAGGATGAAATCTGAAAAGAAGACTACAGAGGGATTCACAAGATTTTTGGCCACTGCTTTCATGAATGTGATCTCTGCTTTGTCCCCTGAGAAGAAGGTCGTTATTGATAGCTATCAATTTGGTTCTTTGCCGATGTTCAATAAATGCTCTGTGTCGAACAAGTTTGCTAAGTTGGTTGTACGGTTAGTTGACTGCAAATCTGGTGATATTATACATGCTGGAAAGGTTATCTCGCTTACTAAGGAGTTAGTTCATCTTGTTCTCGACCTTCCTATGGGTAGAAGAGCATTCCCATCTGATAGAAGTGCTGGCATGGATGTTGTTTTATTCAAGTTTGGAAAGGAAAAGATTCCTCCCGTTTGTTTCTTTGCTAATAAGTTGATAAAGAAGGAAGATCTATCAGATGAAGACTTGTTTATTTGCTTTATGTTAGTTGTTTTGAGCAGTTTCTTATGCTCGAATTCGAATATTGTTCCCAGCCCCAAATATTTTGGTATATTCGAAGATACTAAGCACATCAATGAGTTTAATTGGTGTGGTTATGTGTTACAATGGTTGCTTCATCATATCAAAGCATTCAATAGAGGCAAAAATGAGAAAGTCAGACGCTGTCGAGCTCTTGGAGGTTGTATATACTATCTTGTGGTAAGTTTTTTTTGTCAATTGTAAACATATTTGTCATAATAGTGTCTTAGGAACAGAGCTTTCTTTTTTTCTTGTCTGTCTTTGGTATGTATATCAGGTGCAGGTTATAATGTATTTCTTTTATTGTTTTCTCCTAAGGTTGTTTACTGTCACACCCTAAAATTTTCAACTTTGGGTTGTGAATAGAAAACACTAAATAAAATAAATGATTTAAATATTTGTATAAAACTTGACAAGATTGGTTTAAGTCTTTGCAAATTTAGTTATAGAAAAAATGTGATTTTTTTCAAGATTTTCTAAAGTAATTTGACGGACGTTTGGATAATGTGATGTTTGCTTGTTGTTTGACTTTATGTTGTGAGTGTGTAAAGTTCTAAAAACACATTTAGTAAGTCATTTTTCTCTCCTCGGCTTGTCTTCGTTTTTTTCTATGTAATAAAATTCCTTCCTTCTCGAGCTTGATCCTCTGTTCACTCTATTTTTCGCCCTAGTTTGGTTTCCTAAATTGCTTTCGTGTGTTTCTTCTTGCCATGTTATTATAGGTTGCGTATTACAACTTTGTTGTAAATATGTTATGTTCTGGACAAACCAATAGTTTGAAGGGGGCTGCTAGTTCAATACAGATTCTGGGTAAGGAGAGTTAAATTTGTATTTCATATGGCTGTTGGTATTTATTAAGTGCAAATAGAATATGCAGGATTTCGCAAGCGCACAGAATACCATTGTAGCATTTTACCAATAGTATTACATGTATCGTTATTTATATTTTACCATAGGAAAACAATGGAGTAAAGATTTATTGGATAACAGAGGAATATCTACTAATCAACATACCAGCATAGCTAAAGCAGGGGTGAATGTAATGATTGAAATAAAACATAAT